GCTGAGATCAAGTGTTAGTGAGAGATGAGCAATGCTGGGAGCATCTTCCTGCCCCGAGAGGCAGTGGCTCTGGGAACTTGGCATCACATTTGTGGTTAATGGAAATGGTGTTCTCCAACGCTTGCACGTGACTCCCATCCAACTGGTTCCTGAGTTCAGTGTGGGAAATATTAGACACAGCTCTTATGTGGGAACTGTGCATGAGTCAGTTTTCTCCAGAGAAATGGCACCAACAGCGTATGTGTGTCTGTGTGTGTGTAGAGATTTAAGGAACTGGCTCACGGGATTGTGGGGCTGGCAAGTCTGAAATCTACAAGGCAAGATGACAGGCTGGGGATGCAGGGAAGAGATGATGTTGCAGCTGGAGTTGGAAGGCAGTCCTGGGGCAGAATTCCCTCTTGGGAGACCTTTCTCGCTTACGGCCTTCACCTGATTGGACGAGGCCCACCCACATTACAGAGGAGAATCTGCTTTACTCAAAGGCTGCTAACTGTAGTTGTTAATCACACCTAAAAACTATTGTCACAGCAACATCTAGACTGGTGTTTGGTCAAACATGAGGGCACCATGACCTAGCCAAGCTGATACATAAAGTTGATCATCACAGTCTGTTATAAGTTTTTGCAGGGATGTAGTCAAATGCTACTTTCTGCAGCATGACCCTTGCCTTGGGGTTCTGAGCCTAGACACCGCTGAGCTGCAGGTGTGGAAGTACTTGGGCGGTCTGAGGGGACTTGGCTTGTTTAGCTACCTGCGAAGCTGTCTCTGGGTGGAGTTCGCTGGAGGCGTCTGCAGGGGAATCTAGGCAGCAAGAGAGGGTAAAACCCTACTTTCCGGAGCCGACTGTTTCCTGAGAAGCCATAGCTGGGGGGGGCAACATCCGGAGTGGGTTTCACCTCCTTGCCAGGGAATGCACCTGCAGGAGTTTTAAGTTGAAAGCAAATATATGGAGGGATGTCCGGAGCGATGGACAGGCTTGCTGGTTGAGAGCTGATGCTGACATTCTTGTTGCCTTAGCTTGTCTACATTTTCTGTTTTCTTCCCAACAAAACACAAAGACAGCTCACAGGTCATAATAATTCTGTGCAAAAGCAACTTTGGTGCTATGAGCTTCGTGGGCACGTGTAAAGTTCACTTGGCTGGCCCACGTGCCGGATGCCAGGCGCCTGGGGATCAGAAAGCAAGCACACAAGAATCCTATCCTGTCTTCGGGGGGCAGGGTTATCCGGCCCCCTGTGAAGTGGACGCTTCCACGCCGTGCTGCCGAGACCTCCAGAAATCGTGGCTCACTATCTCGCTGCGGTGGAAGAACCCTGACCCGGGGTTGGCTTGAGGCCTGATGCGCCGGGGACCGCCTGGGAGGCTGCATACTTCCCCAGCCACCTGCCGGGAGCCGGGCGCGCTGTGGGTGTCTGGGCCTGGACCGCAATGTGTCAGACGCAAGGTGATCTGAGCAGAGTGCCTCCCGCTGCCCACTCCAGACTCACATGAAACTCTGAGGGATCTTCGGGAGACCCGTGCATTCAGCTCCTCATGAAGCTTTTCCTCTTTTCCCTGATAAAGAAGACTGTTGGAGAATATAACTCTGGAGAAATTTTAAGTTTTTTTTTTAAAGAGAGCGAGTGAGCGGGGGTGGGGAGGGGCAGAGGGAGGGAGAGAATCCTAAGCAGGCTCCGCACTCAGCATGGAGCCCGATGCGGGGCTCAATCCCACAACCCTGAGATCATGACCCGAGCTGAAATCCAGAGTCATATGCCCAACCGACTGAGCCACCCAGGTGTCCCGACTCTGGAGACATTTTAAATGCTAACTCTAATATCCACCCGGAGTCGTAACAAAACCACCAACTTCTCTTGCTCTTGGTTAGAAGGAAGTGAGCGCCAGGGTCACTGGTCCCTGCCCTGTCTGTATTCAGCTTCCAGGAAGGATGTCTCAGGAATGACCATCTGCTAGAGAAAGAGACTCAGGAGAATTCTTCCAAATAGTGAAATGTATAGATAGCATAGGGAATTAAATATGAAAAAAATCACCTCTTATTTGAGGCCATGGGGAGCTGCGGGCATGGGCTCCCATATCTCCTGAAGATGCAGGGCACCTGCCTCCCAGCAAAGCCCTGTGGACTCGGACCTTCGCTCTGAGTGAGAGACTGGATGGAGAAGAGCCTGGGAAAAGTCCCACTCAGAGGGGGCAGGAAACTCTTCCCCTGGTCACCCCTTGGGGACCAGGCCGACTCTCGTCTCTGCTGCCTGTTTGATTCCCAAGGAAGCCCTCCCCAGAGCCAGGGATGCAGCCTTGGGGCTCTGTCTGAGCTGTGAGCAGTAGTATTAGCCCTGGAAAGGCCCGCATGGAGTGGGTGCTTTGCGGGCTTAACCGTTACAGCCACGGGGCGCCCACAGGTGTGGGGCTGTCTTGTGCTTGGGCCCCCAAGTTACTGCTTGGCGAGGTCACACGCACAGCCGTTGTTCCCGAAGCTTTCTGCTGTGTCAGCGCAGGCTGGGCCCTGGGGCGTCTGGCAGTGGCCGGTCTGCACCCGGGCACCCCTCTCCCCCTCCCCCGTCTCCCTTCCCTGAACTGAACTGGTGGAACTGGAGCTTTACTTGCACAAGGGTTCTCTGGCCTTGATGGGGCAGGGAGCGCTATGTCTGCTCCTAGGTGAAGTAAGGACAGGCACCGGAGAGTGTCCACGGAGGCGGGGGCCGGGAGGACGGGGGGCAGCTGGCTGTGCTGTGGGCCGCGGGGCGGAGCAGGGAGGGAGGCCCATTGCTCGTGCTGCATTCAGAAGTGAAGCGTGTGCCTGGGCCCGGGGCTCCCTGGGTGGCTGCGGGGGAGGCCGCTCCCCTGCAAGTATGCAGCGCCCCTTCTGCCAGCTCCGTGCTCTCTTTTAGGGTCTGGATGGGGGGGTTCCACTCCGTCAGCAGATGAGGTTTCCCAACTTAGCTAGAGCGGGCTGAATGGTGGCTCCCCAAACTCTCACCCTCGCTCCTGGACCCTGTGAATGCGAACTCATTTGGGGAAAGGGTCCTTGCACATGTAATTAGGGTAAAGATCTCCAGATGAGAAGATCACCCTGGATAATCGAGATGGGTCCTAAAGCCAATGACAAGCATCCTCATGAGACCTGAGACGGACACAGAGGGCCGTGTGAGGACGGGGCCGCCGCCTGGAGTGATGCAGCCACAGGCTCAGGATGGCGGGAGCCCCCGCGGCTGGAAGGGCAGAGAAGGGAGTCTGTCCTGGAGCTTCTGCAGGGAGCCGGGCCCTGCTGACCCGCTGATTCTGGACTCCCAGTCTCCACAGTGGGAGACCCTACTCCAAGCTGTAACGTCTTCAGTGTTTGCCAAGACCGTGCTAGTGCAGGGCGATGCGCCTCTCTCCAAACACGCGGGGGGTGGGTAGTGCAGGGGCGGAGGGCGGCGGAGAGTGCGGGGCTGAGGGGTGGCTGGTGGGGGGCAGACTCGAGAGAGGCTGGTGTGCAGCCCTCGCCCTGGCCAGCCCTGCTGCCGGAGTCAGGGACAGAGGCCAGGAGTCGGCAACCCCTCCCTTAAGGGGCCGGATGGTAAATACTCAACTGTGTTGTTGCAGCACAAAGACAACCCAGACAACAAGGAAGCTCATGGATGCGGCCAGACTTGCGGGCTCAGGCCTAGACCGTGGGCAGGTGTCCTCGGGGGGAAGCAGGAGCACGGCGCTTTGGAGAAAAGAGGCCTGCCTTGGATGGGGTCCCCCAAACCGACAGGCCTCTCAAGGTGCCCGGGTCACCAAGCTCGTGGTCCAGAGTCTGCGTGGTGGTGTGGTGGGGCTCTGTCCACCGTCGGGGGGAGACGGGCTCGCCCTCTGAGGCTCCCGGGCACCACTTCTCCATCTGCTTTTGGTTCCCAGTTCATTTGCGCACAAACACCAAGCAATTTAAGAGGGAAAAGTTAAAGCTGGCCCAAGGTCACTTTAGAAAGTATCAGGATTGGGCGCCTGGGTGGCTCAGTTGGTTGGGCGACTGCCTTCGGCTCAGGTCATGATCCTGGAGTCCCTGGATCGAGTCCCGCATTGGGCTCCCTGCTCGGCGGGGAGTCTGCTTCTCCCTCTGACCCTCCCCCCTCTCATGTGCTCTCTCTCATTCTCTCTCAAATAAATAAATAAAATCTTTAAAAAAAAAAAAAAAAAGAAAGTATCAGGATCACCTGGTAGCTTCTTGCTCCAGGGGAGGCTGCCTCACACTCGGGGCTCAGTGTCCTCCTCTACAAAATGGGCTTAAATTTAATCCAAGGATTCAACACATGAGTTCCTGTGAAGCACGTTAACAGTGCTCAGTTGGGGAGGGGGTGCAATTATGGTTACTTGTTCCAAGGCGGCCCCGAGGGGGTCCCAGTGGGCTCCCCTGAAAATGGATGAGCCACACAGACGCCCAGAAGTAACCGTGAATCCCAGGCTGTCCCAGGTGGAGGAGGACTTGGAGCTCACCCACAGCACGGATGGCAGGTGCCCAGCAGGCATCCCTGGTTGGTCCTGGCCCTCTGTCCCGCTGGACGTCACCACAGCAGCGGCAGCAGCAGGCCGGACCCCACCCTCCTGCCTGCGTGTCCTGGGCTCCAGCATGCGCCTCTCCCACACGCCCTCCGCGCCTGCACCTGGGCATCGATCGGAGGCTCACCTGCCGCCACGTGCTCGCTCTGCCCTTGACCACAGCGGAATTCCTCCCCGGCTGTGAGCCGCAAGTGAACCCACAGAATAGCTGCGAGGGGGCCGGGGCGGGGGGGGCGGTCAGCTGGCCATGAGTTCAGTCACTCGTCTGGATGCCGGGTTTCCTTGTCCCACAGCACGCGCGCGCACACACAGACACATGCGCGCACACAGGCACAGGCACACGCACGCACAGGCACACGCGCACACACACAGGCACATGCGCGCGCACACACAGGCACCCTGACACCGCGTAGAGTACACACACGGCAGATGCTGCACCGAGCCAGCAGGGAAAGGGCTAAAAGATCACACTGAGAATGTTCTTCTTTTTGTCCTTCAAAGAGTTTAACGCCGTCCTAAAGGGAAGCCAGGTCAGCTTAGATGTTTCTCACGGATCACAGCGGGCCGGCAGGGGTGGGGGCGGAGGTCGTCCGTGAACGTGGGTGAGGAGCCGAGGGTCTGAGAACACTGGTCCCTCGGTGGACGGTGCTGCGTCCTGTCTCTCCCCGGACTGCGTGCAGCACAGAGCGCGGGGCAGACGGAGGAACGGGACGGTGAGGCGGAGGGAAGGAGAGGGCTAGGGCCCCCGGGTCGCTCCGTCTGGTTCCGACAAAGCTCCCCCTTTAGGGCTGGTGGGTCATCACGGGTTTCTGTGGAGCACAAATACTCACATAGTTGTGCAAGATGGGTGTGCACACAGACACATGTGCAGACACCTGTGCACACACGAGCGTGCACACATGCACAGACACACGTGGGCACGCAACACAGATATACAAGCGTGCACACACAGGCATGTACACATGCACAGAGACATGTGGGCACGCACACATACAAGTGTACACACACAGGCGAGCATACACGCAGAGACACACGTGTGCACGCACACACATACGAGCATAGAGTGCACACACACGCACAGACACGTGGGCACGCGCACATACGAGCGTGCACACACACACACAGGAGTGCACACGCAGACACACAAACACGTTGGTCAGAGGTGCCGGTCAATCCCTGTGCAGTTTCTGCACAGCGACTCTGCCTCCGCTCCCCCAGCTGGGTTAGCGGCACTGGCCTGTCATCAGAGGGGGTGTACGGATGGAAAGTATCCGAAAATGTAAGGCTCTGAAACACAAGGAGCTGTATTCTAACCTGAAAGCATTTAGATTCTCAAGTCCCTGTTGGCCAATTTCTTATTAGTGGTCATCAGCCCTCCGTCTGGGATGGCCCTGCACTGGCCACCGTCCCGACACCTCCTTCTGGTTAAAGTGGGCTCGCGGGCACCTCTACCCTGTGCCATCTCCCCCTACACACGTCCCCTCGTCCCCTTGTTGGGGCGGCCAAACGATGGCGGGGTCACGCACCTCCCTGTGGCCGGCATAAGCTCGCACACTTCGGATCAGCCTTTTTGCTGTAGTTGTGCATCCCCAGCGTGAGATGCTTGGAAACCCGTTTTTAAGAATGGAGTTCACGGAGAGAATAAAGCGCCGGCAGGAGGTGCGAGTGGAGAGCCACCGGGGTCGCGGGGGTTCGGGCCTTGACTGTGGCCACTGGCACCGAGTCGTCATGCCCATCCCCAGGCTGTGGGCGTGACCTTGAGGTCCTAAGAGATGGGCTCTTCTGAGCTGTCACGGAGCCACGTCTGCGAGGTGCTGCTGGGGTGCCTCAGGCAGGCAGCACCCATGCAGGGAGAGCTGGTGCTTTCAGCGGCTCTCGAGAGGGGGGCAGGACGGGGCACTCTGCAGAGCGCTCTCTCCCATGGAACCTGGGGACAGCCTTGACCCCAGCATCTGCACATGTGCTTTGCTGAATGACCTTTACAGCACTCGTGAGCTGCTGGGGCTGTGAGGACAGTGTCCTCTCTCTCTCGTGGATGGTCCCCTCCCCCGAGCGTCCTCACTGTCTCGTGGGCGGTCCCCTCCCCTGAGCGTCCTGTCTCGTGGGCGGTCCCCTCCCC